AGTATATGATTTGTTGAATATAAAAGTGATGATCTGCCCTGTAAACTTTCACTCAAATCATAACAAAAACTTTAAAAAAAAAAGTCAACAAGAAAAAATGCGGGATAAAGCTAAGAAAAAATTTTTAGCAAAAATCTTGCTTCCATAAAATATTAACAGGATGTTGGAAAAAAGGAATAGTCAGAAAACAAACCAACTAGGAGGGGAATAGAAGCTTTTAGAAATAAAAACATAATGTTGCTATTGTTAAGTGCCATAAAGTCTGTTCCAATTCAGCAACCCTACATAGAGTTTCCAAGGAGCGGCTGGTGGGACTGAACCCCCAACCTTACAGTTAACAGTCAGTGCCTTTCTTACAGTGCCACAACAGGACTCCATAATAGCAGAAGCTAAAAGTCAATTAAAAAAATTATAGGATAAAGCTAAGAAATATATATTTTTAATTTTTTAGCAAAAGACAGATTTAACAGAAGAGATTTAATACTAAAACAGGATTATCCCAGAGATCCTGGTGTGGCACTGTGGGATAAAGCACTAGACCAAAAAGGTCAGTTTGGACTACAAGATCAGCAATTCTAACTCATCAGCCACTCCTTTCAAACCCTATATAGAGTTACTATGAATGAGAACCAATTTGATGGTACTTAACAACAACACTATCCAAAAAATAGAAACATACCCAAACTCATTGCTGTGGAGTCAATTGCTACTCTGTAGTGTTGTTGTTAAGTGTCATCGACTTCGACCCATAGTGACCTTGTATAGGGTTTCCGAGGAGTGGCTGATGAGCTTGAACCACCGACCTTTGCAGTCCAGTGCATTAACTCACAGCGCTACACCAGTAGTAGAACCACCCAGTGGGGTTTCCAAGGTTGTAAATCTTTATGGAAGCGGACTACAACATTGTTCTCCTGGGAAGCAGCTAGCAGGTGGATTCTAACCACCCACCTTTCAGTCCAGCACTTTAACCACTGTACTAACAGGGCTCCTTAATAGAAGTTTAAATTAAGGGGAAAAGAATAGAGGAGGAAATCTACAAAATAATTTTAGAACTGACAAACTTTGGTCTGTTAGACTGAAAGAATCTACCTGGCCACGCAATATGAATGAAAAGAAATTCACACCAAGGCATAGCTTTTTAAAATTTCAAAGCGTGGCCATTTGGTCGGTTCTGATAAAGTTAAGAATTTTTAGCTTAACTACTCTGTATGGGATTTCTGAGGAGCAGCTGGCCTTTTGGTCCAGTGTTTTACCTCCAGCAACACACCAGATCTGGTTGTTGTTGTTAAGTGCCGTGAAGTGGGTTCCAACTTATAACGACCCTGTATAGGGTTTCTGCAGGAGCAGAAAGATTTCTCCCACAGAGCTGCTGGTGGACTTGCCTCTCTGCTCCCTCAGTAACTGGCTGTTGTTATTCAGTATTGTTGAGTCGATTCCGACAGAATAGAAAGAAACACTGCTGGGTCCTGGGCCAGCCTCACAATTGTTGCTACACTCGAGTCCATTACTGCTGCCACTGTGCCAATTCATCTCATTGGGGGTCTTCCTCTTTTTCTCCAACCCTTCATTTTACCAAAGATGAAATCCTTCTCCAGGGATTGGTCCTTCCTGATAATCCCTCCAAAGTATGAGAAACGAAGTCTGGCCATCCTGGCTTCCAAGGAGCATTTGGCTATACTTCCAACACAGACTGGTTTGTTCTTTTGGCAGTCCATGGTACTTTTAATATTTTCTTCCAACACCATAACTCAAATGCACCAATTCTTCTACAGTTCCCTGTTCACTGTCCAACTTCATATGCATATGAAATTATTGAAAAGACCATGGCATGAGTCAGGTTACCTTAGTCCTCAAATTGACATCTTTACTTTTCAACACTTTAAGAGGTCTTGTGCAACAGATCTGCCTAATGCAATATGTCGTTTGATTTCTTGACTCCTGCTTCCACTGGTGTTGATGGTTGATCTGAGCAAAATGAACCTTTGACAACTTCAATATTTTCTCCATTAATATGGATATTGTTTATTGATCCAGTAGTGAGGATTTTTTTGTTTTCTTTACATTGAGGTCAACCCTTACTGTGGTCTTTGATCTTCATCAGTAAGTATTTTAGGTTCTCTTCATTTTCAGCAAGGAAAGTTTTATCATCTGCATATGGCAGGTTGTTAATGAGTCTGCCTCCAGTCCTGATGCCATGTTGTTCTTCATATAATTCCATTTCTCATAGTATTTGCTTAGCATACAGATTGAATAAGTATGGTGAAAGAATATAACCTTGACACACAACTTTTCTCATTTGAAACCATTCGGTGTTCTCCTGTTCTTTTCGAACAACTGCCTCTTGGTCTATGTACAGGTTCCTTATAAGCACAATTAAGTGTTCTGGAATATTCAATCTCAATAGTAGCAATAAAAGATGAATTGAAAATAATATCCATTAGAAGTGAATTGGATTAAGGTAAGAGAAGTCCTGGTGTGGTGCTGTATGATAAGCACTAGACTGCAAAGCTGGTGGGTTTAAACCCACCAGCCACTACTTGGAAACCCTATGCAGGGTCGCTATGGGTCAGAACTGGCTTGATGACACTTAACAACAAGAGAATTACTGAACTGGATAATTAGCAATAGCACAAGTGACTTTTATCCACTTTTAAATTTGGATGATCTCATTTCTTTGCATATGTTGTTAAGTGACCCACCTGTTACAGGGTGTCAGAGGCTGTAAATCTTTTCAGGAGCAGAAAGCCTCATCTTTCTCCTGTGCAGTTGCTGGCCGCTGGACTTGAATCGTTCACAGTCCATCCTACAGAGCCACTGTGTGGTTGTTAAGTGTTATTGAGTCAGTTCCAATTCATAGTGACCTGTACAGGGTTTCCAAGGAGCAGCTGGTGGTTTTGACCCACGGACTTTACAGTTCAAACCAACCTTAAAGTCCAGCGCTTCTCCTACAGCGCCACACCTGGCTCCTCTTTGTATACTGTTACGTGCCATCGAGTCAGTACGGTTCAAACCGACCTTATGGTCCAATGCTTGTCTTTCAATGCCACACCAGGGCTCCCTTTGTATATGTTGTTGTTGTTAAGGACCCTCGAGTCGGTTGCGACCCATAGTAACCCTGTACAGGGCTTCCAAGGAGCAGCTAGTGAGCTTTGCAGTCCAGCCCATTAACTCACAGCACCACACCAGTTCTCCTCCTTTGTATATGGTGGTCTGCGAGGCTTATGAAGATCTTTACGGGAGCAGAAAGCCACGGAATGACTGGTAGTTTCGAACTGCTGACCTTGAGGTTAGCAGTCTGACTGTAACCACTATGCTACCATATAACACTTTCAAAATTGCCATTTTTCTCCATCCCAACATTAAAAATCATATCAGCTTTCACCTCCGCTAGACAATGAAACAGTGGGATGGGGTAGATAAGATTAACCAATACTGTAAATCATTAATACTAAAACTTGCTATGATGCCAAACTTACAGGACTCAACCATGCATGCTCTAACTCTCCCCCTTCATTGTTACCCAGCCCATCAGTTCCCTAGGCCACGCCCCCACACCCAAGACCCGCCCTTGCGTTCTCGCGACCACCTTTCCAAGTCCCGCCCCTTCAGGCTCCCAGGCTCTCCACCTCACGCCTCCGAGCCGTCCGCAGCCCCGCCCAGCTGTCGGGCTCACCGCTCAGGCTCCTCCCCCAGTCCGCGGGCCCTGCTGGCCGGCTGGGTGTGCGTGCCTGCTTGCGCCGCACGCCGCTCCGCACCCGCGGCCTCCCCCCGGGTGTGGGCGCAGCGGACGCGCTTGCGCTCGGACCTCACACGCAAGTCCCAGAGTCGGGCTCCTAGAGCGCTGACGGCCCGAGCCCTGGAGGAGGCCGCGTCTCCGCCCCACACGAGGTAGGGGCCCAAGAGATGCGCGGGCGGGGCCGAGGCCCAGGTCGCGGGAGGCCTCGCGAGAGAGGCGCGGGTGGTGGGGCCGGGTAGGGTCCCGGAGGAGGCCGCTCCTCGTGCCGGAGGCAATGGGGCGGGCCTTGGGCAGCGGCGTCCGTTTGTTTGTGTTCCGATGCCCCAAGGGGACTGTGCGGGGCCCCGAATAACGGTTTTGGACTCCAATCGATGCCCTGCGGACCACGTGCGCCATCGTGCCCAAACCTGCCGGCACGGAAGTACGTGTTGGCGGCCTTGTAGTCCTCGTAGGTGTTTATTGCCCCTTCCACGTGCCAGTCTGATCTGGCGCCGAGGTGAGGCGGCATCCGGGTGCTCCCGGATATTGGGGTTGAGTGAGAAGGGGGCTCGGGAGCGAGATAGAGCTGGGTGCCGCCCTCTCGGTGATGGGAGGTTCTGAATGCATTCAGACCTGTGATGCCTGTGCTTGTCTTTGGAGAGAGCGGAGCCACCCGCACAGATGGCGCCTCTGTTATCCCCTGAAGCGCAGGAGGGAGGAAGAGAACCACGAGCCGTAGGTGGACCCCGCTTGTTTCTTTTCTAGTTGGACCTCGTCCTTGGAGAAGATGGAAGGGGAGAAGCGGCCGCCGCAGGGCCCGCCCAACGAGGGCCTGTTTGCGGATGGGCACCTGGTCCTGTGGACTCTGTGCTCTGTGCTGCTGCCGGTGTTCATCACCTTCTGGTGTAGCCTCCAGCGGTCCCGCCGGCAGCCGCACCGCAAGGACATCTTCCGTAAGAGCAAACACGGCTGGCAGGACACGGACCTGTTCAGTCAGCCAACCTACTGCTGCGTCTGCGCGCAGCACATTCTGCAGGGCGCCTTCTGCGATTGCTGCGGGCTGCGAGTGGACGATGGCTGCGTCAAGAAGGCGGACAAGCGCTTCCCGTGCAAAGAGATTATGCTCAAGAATGACAGCAGGGCCCTGGACGTCATGCCCCACCACTGGATCCGGGGCAACGTCCCTCTATGCAGTTACTGTGTGGTCTGCAAGCAACAGTGTGGCAGCCAGCCCAAGCTCTGCGATTACAGGTATTGCCTTTGTGGAAACTGCTTGTTCCAGAATGCACAGTGGGAGTCAGGGCACCTTAAAATGGGAGGAGAGGCCGAGTTTCTCTCTACAGATGGTCTGAGCTGGCCTCTTTAAAGTCTCAGGCTAATAATGATAGCATCCCGGGTATTGTCCAGGTACGGATGCCAGGCAGCTTTTGCTAATAATCATTTGCTGAGATGATGTTTCTATTCTAGCCTCCATACCTCAGCCAACCTGTTCATGAAACTTGACTCTTAATTTTAATTTGTTAGTCTCTAAATGCTGTGTGCTTCACAGTTGTTGTTGTTGTTAAGTGCTGTCCAGTCGATTATGACCCATAGCGACCCTGTATAAGGTTTCCAAGGAGCAGCTGGTGAGCTTGAACTGCGACCTTACAGTTCAAATGGCTTTACAGTCTGGCCCATTAACCCACAGCGCCACACCAGGATTCCTTCACAGTAGTTGTTGTTGTTATGTGCTGTGGAGTTGGTTCTGACTCATAGCGACCCTGTACAGGGTTTCCAAGGCTGTAAATCTTTATGGGAGCAGAAAACCTCATCTTTCTCCCGCGGAACAGCTGGTAGTTTCAAACTGCTGACCTTGCGGTTCGCAGCCCGATTCTAACGACTACGCTATTACCATATGCTTAAATTTTTGCTTGTGTTGCTGTTTGATTATCTCCATTTTACATGGAGGAAAGGAGATAGGGAAAAATGAACTTTTCCCTCTGGTTCCAAATTTAGTGTTGTACTGTGAATGTACAATGAAAACAAGTGTCATTCCAAGACAGCACCCTAAATGTCTTTTGCTAATATAGATATTCGAGTCATGGTGTGGCGCTGTGGGTTAATGCGTTGGACTGCAAGGTCGTTTGAACAGCACGGTTGACTGTTCAAGCTCACCAGCCATTCCTTGGAAACTCTATACAGACAGGGTGGCTGTGAGTCGGAACTGACTTGATGGCACTTAACAACAGCAATATAGATATTGGGGCTATACTGAAATGCACTCAAAAAGTAATTGATCATTTTGCCAGAGGACCTTTCAGGACTTGAAGCATGTTAGATAAGGGACATGGTATTGGTAACCTTGATTGAACCAAGAATATTTTAAATGGCTTTGTGTGCACACTGAGCAACACGTGTATGTTATAACATATTGTCTGGAAGCAGGTAACGATGTCTTTTGTTCTTGAGAGGGACTGGTAGAAGAGGTTACTGCTTTGTAGAAATCATCAATTGCAACTCGTTTAACTGGTAAAGTTAAAACTGAATGGGTCTCAGGAGAATGAACTGTTAATTGTGTTATTGTTAAATACTGTTAAGTCGGTTCCAATTCACAGCAACCCTGTATAGGGTTTCCAAGGAGCAGCTGGTGGGCTCAAACCACCAACTTTGTGGTTTGTAGTCCAGTGCTGATCCTATAGCACCACACCAGGAGTCCAAAATTAGACTAGCTTCCAAAATTTCTCAACGCCAGGACCAGAGTAGGAACACTGTAACACCAGTCTTGCCTCAGCCTCAAGTCTTGACATCCTCATAGTCACGGGGTTTCATCTGAGCTTTTGAAGAAGTACTGAGGGCCCCTGTACTGAAATAGGAAGCTGGCACTAGATAGCAAGTTATGTTTTTTAATTAGCATGGGCACTGTTATGTCAGCATCTGTTTTGTAAATCTTGATTTCATTAAAGTTATACCTGAGATTTAAAGACATAATAAAATTGCAAAATAATAGATTTAAAATTTTGTAATTATTTTTATTTTGCAATTTTACAATTCACACTGTTCTTTTGACATCTGTGAGAGCTAGGTAGTAGTAGTGGTGGTGTGCCACTGAGTCAGTGCTGACTCATAACAATACTGTCTAGGATTTCTGAAGCTGTCTTTGCAGGGCCAGAACGCCTCATCTTTCTCCTGCAGAGCGGCTGATGGGCTTAAACCACCGACCTTTGTGGTTCATTGATTACCCTGTGGAGCCACTGTAGTCCCTGAGAGATAGGTTCATGCCTTAAAATAAATTTCCTGACTTTCTGTAGGTAAGCTTTAGTCTTTGAGAGTTGGGCTTAGTTGGCAAGAAGATATGAATATCTTTATATTTTTTCCATTCTTTGTACCTGTACAGAATTGAATAAAAATGCATTTTTTAGATATCTTAACTGTATTTTAAATACTCCTTAAATAATCACAGTGTTTCTGATCCACCACCCATATGATCTTTCCAAAAAACATAATTCTGCCCCACTTTCTGCTTTGCTTTGAGCTTTCCAATTGTTCCCATCCCTTAACACTGATGGTCTTACTGAGCAAATACCCAAGTGCTTCACATGGCATGCTAGGATCATGTGAACGTCAGGATGCTCTCTGAACCCCTTTCTGCCAAGTCCTATCAACCTCCACCTGCATTCAGCTTTATGCAGCAGTGACACCAGACTGGTTCCTAAAAACATCGGGGTTTGTCTTCCTGCCCCTTTTCTCAAGGCTTACCTCTGTCTCATGCCCCCTTTTGGTTAGTGTTTGGTACCGCTGAAGTAAAAGTGTGATGGCACTCTAGGTTAAAGCACTGGACCACAAGGTTAGTTTGAAACACAGGCTGGTGGTTCAGACTCATCAGTCATTCCTTGGAGACCCTATACAGTGTCACTAGTCATTGAGTTGTACTGACTCAACAGCACTTAACAACAAAGACTCCTCTGAGGTCTGTCCTTGCCTTACTTTGTACTCACCCCTCAATTTTTTATTCTTGATGATGCTCTGATGTAGCAGTAGCATCAGCATCACTTGGAAACGTAAAAGAAATACAGATTCTGGAGTTACCAGGTTTAGCAAATAAAAATAGAGGATACCATTACATTTGAATTTCAGAGAAGCAGCAAATCATTTTTTACTATTAAGTGTATCCCATGACATGTTGGAGACATACTGAAAAATGACTTGATTTTTACCTAAAATTCAAAATTAATTGAGTACACTGTAGCTTATCTGGCAACCCTTGCCCTACCTTAAACTTATAGAATCAGAAATTTGGGCTCAGGAACAGCATTCTGGACCTTAACAGGCCCCGCAGTCATTCTAACATTGGCAAACCACAGTTCTGTTTCTGCATCTTTCTTGCCTCTTTAAAACATGAACCTTTCTGTCCTCAATTCTATGTCCTCCCCTTTGAGCATAATGAGTGTTTGTGATGCTAGCTCTGCTTTTCCTCATTATCGTGTTCTCACAGATCCCGAAGCAGCCTGTTCCTAGGGCACCACACATCTGTCATTTAGGAAGTGTTTAAGAGAAGAGCATCCTGAAGCTGCATATATTCTGTAATGTTCGGAGCTGATTGAGATTGTTGTTGTTAAATGCCATCAAGTCAGTTTCCACCCATAGCGACCCTTCAGAGGGTTTCCAAGGAGCGACTGGTGAGCTTGAACCACCAACCTTGCAGTTCAAAGTGACTTGCAGTCTAGCGCATTAACCCACAGCACCACACCAGGACTCCTGATTGAGATTAGCCAGTCATTTTATGCAGGATGACAGTCTGCTGTGACCTTCTGTAGGAGTGAGATATTTTGGAAGAACAAAATAAATAGCTATTTGGAACCTTTGAAACACCGGCCAAGCTGTCCCTCTTTGGATTTTATCCAGCTCTGGGGAAGACTCCTTCCATAGTTGTTTGCCATTCTCACGGAAATCAGAGATTATAAGTAAACTATGAAGAGTATTTGGAGAACAAGTTAACACTCAAGACAGTAGTAACTGATTTTAAAGCATACACTGATAGTTATTACACCATTCCAACTCTTGGCAACTCCATCTATTACAGAGTAAAAGTGCTCCATAGGTTTCTCTTGGCTATAATCTTTCCGAAGCAGATCACCAGGCCTTTCTTCTGCAGCACCACTTGGTAGGTTCGAACCACCAACCTTTGAGGTCAGTAAATTTGGTCCCAACCATCTCTTGCCACCCAGGGTTGTCTGCAGTTTACTTAGAAATGCACAAAAGTAAGGTGTATTATTGGATGAGTATATGGATTGTTGTTATGTGCCGTCGAGTCAGTTCCCCCCCATAGTGACCCTGTATAGGGTTTCCAAGGAGTGGCTGGTAAGCTTGAGCCACTGACCTTGCCATTCAAATGGACCTTGCAGTCCAGCGCATTAACCTGCAGCGTCACACCAGAACTCCGAGTAGATGGGTGTAAATGTGGTAAAGCAGTGACAGGTAGATGCTGATGATAGAATGTAGGTGGTGGGCATATCAGTGTTCCCTGTGTAAAATAAAAAGTAAGGAGGTACTTGCAGCAATATGAATGGTGAAGTGTCATGGTGTGTGCAATTTACTTTCAAATAATACAGCAGAATAGAGTTCATATCAAGAAAAAGCAAGTGTGGAAGAAAATGTTCATTAGGAAATAGAGTGAAGGGTTGATCCAGGGTGTTCATTTTACTATTCTTTCGACTCCTCTGTAGGTTTGAAATTTTTCAAAATAAGATGAAGGAAAAAGAAAAGATAATAGTAACATGATTGTTGAAACTAAAATGTCAAGACATTATTAATCTTTATTTTCCCCTTCAGGTTTGAATTCTAGATCTATTTAAATACTAACAACAAAATAGGTAAAGAGAAAAGGTCTCAATTTTGAATATGATATTTCTAAGGAAAAGTTTAATTAATAAGTGTTTTGGCTTTACCTTCACAGTGCAAAGTCTGATGACAACTGTCATCTTGATTAACAGAATCTTTTTCTGAAATTTATGAAGATTTAGTTAAATGATAAATGTAATGTCACAAATTAGTAGGAACAAAACACATTGTTTGCTCTTTGGTGGTGGAGGGGTTAAGTCTTCATCTCACACTATATACCACAAGATTCCTGATGGATTAGTATAGTAGTTCTTAACCTGGTGGATAGATAAACTTCTGAGAAGCTTGGCACGTTGATGAGATTCTCAAAGGCATGTGTAACCCCACCTGAAGGTTAAGAAACAGTGAATTAAGGATGTAAATATAAATAACTGAATGTGGGGGGTGTAGGGAATTACTATAGGCAAATTATTCTCTAATTTGGAAATGGTAAAGGACTTTAAAGCATTTAAAGTAAACCACAAAGTGAACTGTGTACTTTTAAAAAAAAAAAAATTTAAGTACACTAAAAAGTAAACTTCAAAGAAAACTGAAAAAGTTTACAAGACAAAGGACAGTTGAAGAGGTTGAAGATCTCAGATAAATAAAACCGCATACAATTACTAAAATTTAGTTGAAGAGGAATGTAAGAGATGAATGGATTCACAAGAAAAGTGGAAAAGTATTCAACTTCACCTAGTAATCAAAGACTTTCAGAATCTAACAGGTTACCTTTATATGCCTATCAGATTATCAAGGAAAACTGTATAAATGCTGGTGAGCAGCATTGGCAAGTGTGGGGCGCAGACTAGGCAGGCTTGTCTGGAATGTTAGGAAAATGCATGTCTTTAAACTCAGTAACTACTAAGATTCCAAGGAAATAATCTCATCATATTACTTATCCTTGTAAAACAGGAAACAATCTAAATGTAATTTTTAAGAAGTTTTATTGGAAGGTTAAAGCATAGACAGATGAGATAATACACATTCTCTACAAACCATGCATTTTTAAAAATGTTTAATGGCAAGGGGAAAGAGTCTTGATATAATGTGGGAAGAACAGTAGTGTCCAGATGGGTAGACATCATTTCTTATCTTTTGAAAAATAATATATGCATGCACTAAAAAAAACTGACTGTAAGTATACCAGGGGAAAAGTTTATGGGAAAATGAAATTCAAAGGTAATGGGATGTTTCCACAAACTTTCTGAATTCCTCTCATTAAGTTTAAGAGTAATTATGTCTGGATGTGGTGCTGCCTGGACTTCAAGGTCAGTTTCAACCACAAGGTCAGTGGTTCAAGCTTACCAGCTGCTCTTCAGAAACTCCATACAGGGTCACTATGAGTCGGAACTGACTTGACAACGCTTAACAACAATAATTTTCCTGTATGTCTTTTTGTATTTTCTAAATTCTCAAGTATCTCCTGGCATTCACTTTATTTAAAATACAGCTTTTTTAAACGTATAGTAGTGTTTCATGAATATATTTTAATTTTCAGAAACTGAAGCAGTGCAAAAGAATATAAAGTAAAAAAGTAAATGATTCCTCTTCCTGCCCCTTTTCGTCCTAGAAAAAGCCATTATGAAATAACTCAGTGGGTATTTTTGTTTTTCACATTGTTTTCAAGGAAATAGACTATTTTAAAGTGAATGGTGGAGCCAAACTACTGTTTAGCTTAACTGGTAACAAAGGTCTGCCTTGAGCACTACAGACTTTTTAGAACTTAATGGGATCAATAGACAACAGCAGTGCAAAAGATTAGACAGGAACCTTAGGGGACAGTGAGTTTATGTTATTAGGGTGGGAACGGTTGTTCAACTCGAAGAGTGTCCCCAGCATTGCTGAATTGTACCTGTAGAAACTGTTGAATTGGTGTATGTTTTGCTGTGTGTGTTCTCAGCCGCAACAGCAACCAAATAAGAGTAAATGGTAGAGCAATTAAACAGCAGTGACTGCTTCACAGATCTGAGTGCCCGACAGGAAAAAACAATCTTAAAATAGAAAGGCAACAGAAAGTTGACCTTGGGTGAAAGAGTGTCCTTATCCCCCCACCCCACCCCCTTCCCGGTCCCTTTTCCTGTTCGCCTGCTTCTGTCTACAGTCAGGTAGGCTTGAGCTCAGAGTGGATTCCAGACTTAGCAGATTGTTCATAGGAACCCAAGCCCTTGACCAACACCACCCCTCCAGTTACACAGATGCCTCCGAGCAGGAAGGCAAATGCAGAACCTAAAGACTTTTCTGACCGTATTGCAAATGCAGATCTCCAGATCATCCTTGTTTTCATTGCCAATAAGAAATATTGACTTGTTTTGCTTATATGGTTGGTTTGGACTCCTGGTGTGGGGTTGTAGGATAAGCACTGGACTTCGAACCATAGGGTCAGCAGTTCAAACCCACCAAGTGCTCCTTGGAATCCTTATACAGGGTTGCTGTGAGTTGGAACCAACTCCAAGGCACTTAACAACAATAACAAAGTGTTTGAAGGTATTATAAGTTAAAAGATTTTCACACTGAACCCTAAAAAACTCCTTAGGGGCATTCGAGCAGCAAGGACATTAGGCTACATAAACCTGTTTCAGCCAAAGCACAAATAAATACTGCATGACATTATTGTTTAGATCACTTCTGTTTATGGAGAATATATTTATTCATAGGAGTGAGGTGGCTTTGTAGGATAAGCACTGGACTGCAAACCACAATGTCAGCAATTCGAGCCTACCAAGCTGCTCCACAAGAGAAACTTCAGGCTTTCTGCTTCTGTAAAGATTTATAGCCTTGGAAACCCTGTCCAGGGTTGTTATGAGTCAGCAGTGAGTCAAAACACTTAACAAGAACTACAGCATGACTGTTAATATTTACCATACCATAAATTAAAACAGAAACGTTAAAAATAGTTATTTAATTTGTGCACAACACTAAGCTTATTACATCATGTGTTTTTGTAATATAAAAGAACATTTCATGGGAAAAGTGACATTGTTTTATGTTTTTGCATATCTCTTTGACCTAAGAGAAATACTGTAGGTTCTCATACTCTGCTTCTGCATTCAGTCTGTTTCAATATCACACATCCTGTAATTTCTGGAAAATTTCACTGATTGCACTTGCTCATCAAAAGAATGAGGATGAAATAACATGTTAGTATTATTGTAAAAATAGTGTGAAACTTAAGACCCCTTCTAAAGGATCTTGCGGTCCCTACACCACAATTTAAGACCTGCTGTTAGATTAGACTACCGAGTCCTTTCAAACTTTATTGCTCTGTTTTCATTATGCAGGTCTGTATTATTTGCCAGATTTTATGCTCAGTAGTGATAAAGTGATAAAGGTACTGTTTAAAAATTAAAAAAAGAAATTGTTAAGATTATGAGTTGGCATTGAAATTGTCTTGCCTCTCCCTTCCCCCAGGTGCATTTGGTGTCAGAAAACAGTACATGATGAATGCATGAAAAATAGCTTAAAGAATGAAAAGTGTGATTTTGGAGAATTCAGAAACATCATCATTCCACCAAGTTATTTAACCTCCATCAATCAAATGCGTAAAGACAAAAAGACAGATTATGAAGTGGTAACGAGAATTTATTTTTCTTATATAATTGAGTTCTTAAAAAGTTACTTAAGTCAGTTTGTAAGGAAAATGTCTCTGTGTGTGTCTGTGTGTGTGAGATTGACAAAAAAGAATCATTACCAGGAATAAAGTAAAGAGATAGAAAGTTAGGACACAGGAGGAAAATAAAATACAATTATGTAAGCCTTAAAGCCCTAGAGTCTTTGTGTGGTGCAGTAGGATAAACACTGGACTTCTAACCTCAAGGTTGGCAGTTTAAACCTACCATCTGCTCTCAGAAACCAGTATGGGTTCACTGTGAGTTAGAACTGACACAATGGCACCTAATAACAACAAGCCATAAAGCCCTACTCTGCTGGTTGAGATGTGTCATAAATTTTGGCTGTTGGGTTTTTTTGTATCTAAAGGAAAATGGAAATGTTAGGGTCATGGTTTCCCAGTCACTGCCTACATATGAGTCACTTGGGAGCTTATTAAAAACACATTCCTGAGCTCACCTCCATCTTCATTTTAATTTAGTAACTCTAGGGTACTAAATTAAAGACTCTTCTGTTGTTTGGGTTTGTTTTTTTTTCAAAGGTTCTGTGGTGATTCTGATCAGCAGCCCAGTTAGAGAACATCTGATCATGGCTATTATCAGTGAAAAGAATTTCTCATTTATAATTTTACATAGGATGCTTGTAGATACGTTTATAATGTACATCTGACCTGCCCACAAATACCATTGAACTGTAAAATTTGTTGAGGGTTTGTAGTATGTGTGCATGTATGTGTATGAAAATCAATGCAAGTGTTTTTCTAGTCTTTCTGTAGCTTTTAAGGAAAGATCATAAAAATTTGCAGATTTGTTTACTGCTTAAATATGCCAAAATAGGGTGAACTATTTTAAAATTAAGGTAAGATTATGCATCTTGTGATCTTTGTCATTATCTTTGCAAAGAAACAAGGTATTTAACTTTTTTGATTTAATGTTTTTAATGTTGTTTTAATTATCTTTTTTAAATATACAACTCCTTAAGTACCTGAATTTAACCTGAGGTTTCAATAGATGACAATCAATGAGTAAAACTAGGAGATAGTTTCATTATTGTTTTTATCCATAAAGAGAAAGGAAAAGAGGAAAGAAGTAGTTGGGTTCTGAAAAACATTAATTTCATGTGACTTTGGGCTAATTATAAATTTGGGTTCTTAGATATCCCTTTTTTTGTTCATCTCCTTGGGAAAATGCTGCCCTTTTGATCTCAAATGATTGATTATTCTAAGAAGTGTGTACCTCCTTAGTGTTACTATTCACCTTACATACAGACCTGCTTGTTGTTTGGTGAGTAACCCATTTAAAAAACACGCAACACAGCAGAAGAAAACACGCTACAATACCAATTGCAGTTGAGTGTATTCCAACTCATGGCAGCCCTTTTGGACATGGTAGAGCTACTCCGTAGGGTTTTCAAGGCTGTAATCCCTGTGGAAGCAGACTGCGTATCTTTTTCAGTGCATGACCCAGCACTCATTTACTGTGCCACCAGAACTCTATCCATACAAGAATATTTCTAGAAAGGATCACCTAAGTTAGAAGATGAGATAGCACCAATCCCATTCTATGAACAGTTGCCAGAACTTGAAATGTACATTGGAGGAGACAAGAATTATAAGAGATGATGCCGATAATGCCTTAGATGTTAGCATGCAGCAGGTACTATATGGAAGAACATATGACATTATTTCTAGTTGCTTCAGAAAGCAAAATTGGGACATGAAAGTGGTTGAATGACAGATTTTTCAACTCAATGTAAGGAAAACTTTTTTATTTATACAGTAGTAGAATGAGCTGCATTATTAGTGGGTTCCTTTTGCATGAGTATTGGGAGCATATGCTGATGACTTCAATGTATAAACCAATTATATAGTAAGTGGGGAATTGTATTCATTCACCTCTGAAGTCCTTTGACAGTCCTAGAATTGGATTGTTAGTTTGTACTGATACAATTCTATTCTTTCAGCATATTACAGCACTGTCGTTATGAAATAAAAAACCATCTCTGAGATGCTAATCCCTTTTCACTTCACATTACTTTTTCTAGCTAGCCTCGAAGCTTGGAAAGCAATGGGCCCCACTAATCATCCTGGCCAATTCCCGAAGTGGGACTAACATGGGAGAAGGGCTGTTGGGAGAATTTAGGATCCTGTTAAATCCAGTCCAGGTAACTAAAGACAAAAACTTCCTTTCTTCATTAATCTTTTCAAATTTACTTTTCTATTTTTCCTAAAATATTCTGGTTGTTAGTATTTTAAATTTGTAATCACATAATTTTAAGAAAGAATATTAATTAGAAAAAGATTAAGGCAATTGAGGATGTGGAGAAAAAGGAGCCCTCATTCCCTAATGGGAATGTAATATGTTGCACCACTTTGAAAAACAATGTGGCAGTTTCTTAAACCAGTTAACCATAAATTTACCACGTTGTTGTTAAGTGCCATCGAGTTGGTTCCAAGTCATAGCAACCCTATACAGGATTTCCAAGGAGAGGCCGGTGGATTTGAACCCCTCCGATCTTGTGGTTAGCAGTCTACTACTTACCCTATAGTGCCACACACCTGTCAGCTAGTGAGTGGATAAACATAAAGTGTTACATCCAAATAATGAAATACTGTTCTCCTCTGGAGTTCTGGTGTGGTGCTGTAGGATAAGTGCAGGACCACATGGTGTGTTTGAACCACAAGATCCGTAGCATAAACTTACCAACCACTCCTGGGAAACCCTATACTAGGTCACTATGAGTTAAAACTGACTCAGCTGCACTTAACATTTCTTCTTTTAAACAACATAAAAGACAACTATATAGATATAAAAGACCATACCAGACAGCATACACAGAAATAAAATTAAATATATCTCTGTGAAGAGATGGTTGAAAAGCTCCATGTCATCAGCCAAAACAAGGCCAGGGGCAGACTATGGAACATCAATTGTTGATATGCACATTTAGTCTGAAGCTGAAGAAAATTAAAACAAGTCCAGGTGAGCCAAAATTTGACCTTGAACGTATCCCCCCTGAATTAAAGACCATCTCAAGAACAGATATGATGAATTAGACACTAATGATCGAATACCGGAAGAGTTGTGGGATGATGTACGGAACATCAACACAGGAAGAAAGCAAAAAGGTCTTTAAAAAGACAAGAAAGAAGGAAAAGACAAAAATGGAAGTCAGAAGAGACTCTGAAACTTGTCACCAGTATAGAGGCTAAAGCAAATGGAAGAAATGAGGAGGTAAAAGGGTTGAATAGAAACTTTAAAGATCAGCTCAAGAAGACAAAAGCACGTATTGTAATGAAGTCTGCAAAGACCTGGAGTTAAAAACCCGAAGGAAAGAACAGTCTCAGCATTTCTCACACTGAAAGATCTGAAGGAAAACTTCAAGCCTCGATTTGAAATACTGAAGGATTCTATGGGCAAAATATGGAATGATGTAGAAAGCATTAAAAAAAGATGGAAGGAGTCACTCTACTAAAAACAGACAATGTTCAACTATTTCAAAAGATAGTATATGATCAAGAGCCAATGGTATTAAAGGAAGAACTCCAAAGGGCACTGAAGGCATTATTAGCAAAGAAAAAAACACTGAGAATTGATAGAATACACACTGAAATCTTTCAACAAACTGATGCAGTACTGGGGGCACTTGCTCATCTGTGCCAAGAAGGTTGGAAGACAGCTACCTGGCCAACTGATAGGAAGAGATCTGTATTTGTGCCCATTCCAAAGAGAATATAAAAATCATTAGACAATATCATTAATCACTTATACAAGTAAAATTTTGCTACGGATAATTCAAAAAACAGCTGTAACGATACATTAACAAGGAAATGCCAGTGATTCAAGTCAGATTCAAACAAGGACATGGATCAAGGGATATCATTACTGACGTTAGATTGATCGTGGATAAAAACAGAGAATAGCAGAAAGATGTTTACCTGTGCTTTATTGACTGTGCAAAGTCTTTTGACTGTGTGAGTCATGACAAGCTATGGACAACATTGCAGAGAATGAATATTCTGGCATGTTTAATTATGCTCATAAGGAACTTGTACATAGACCGCGAGGCAATCATTCAAACAGAACAAGGGGACACTGAATGATTTTAAATTAAGAAAGGTTTTGTACTGGGGTTATATTCTTTAACCATACTTTTTCAGTCAGTATGCTGAGCAAATGATCTGAGAAACTGGATTATATGAAGAAGAACATGGCATCAGGATTGGAGGCAGACTTCTGCAATATGCAGAAGATACAACCTTGCTAGCTGAAAGTGAAGAGGACTTAAAACACTGACTGATGAAGATCAATGACCACAGCCTTCAGTATGGGTTGCACCTCAACGTAAAGAAAACAAAAATCCTCACCACTGGGCTAGCAAATAACATCTATATTAATGGAGAAAAGATAGAAGTTGCCAAACATTTCATTTTGCTTGAATCCATTATCAAAATTCATGGAAGCAGCAGTCAATTAATCAAACGACTTAACTGCATTAGGCAAGTCTGCTGCACAAGACCTCTTAAAAGATGTCACTTTGAGTACTAAGGTGTGCCTGACCTAAGCCCTGGTATTTTCAGTGACTTCATATACATGTGAAAGTTGGAGAGTGAATAAGGAAGAACATGGAAGAATCGATGCATTTGAATTGTGTTGAAGAAGAATATTAAAAGTACCATACACTGCCGTAAGAACAGACAAATCTGTGTTAGAAGTACAGTCAGAATGCTTCTTAGAAGCCAGGATAACCAGATTTCATCTGTCTTACTTCAGACATGTTATCAGGAAGGACTGGTCCCTGGAGAAATGGTTAGCATGCTAGGTAAAGTGAAGGGTCAGCAAAAAAGAGGAAGACTCCCTAATAACATGGATTGCCACAGTGGTAGCAGCAGTAATCTCAAGCTTAACAACATTATTGTGAGGATGGCACAGGACCAGGCACTGTTTTGTTCTGATGTTCATAAGGTCACTGAGTTGGAACCAACTCAGTAGCACCTAACAACAACAGTTCTCAGAAACCCTCTCCATGGTCGCTATGAATCGGAACCAACTCGATAGCACTTAACAACAACAAAAACATTCAGAAATGAAAAGGAACAAGGTACTGATAACCTGCATGACATAGAAGAAGGTCAAAAAAACATGCTAAGTGAAAACATCCAGACACAAGGGTTCATATAGTGTATGATTTTGTTTATGTGGAATGTCCAGAAAGGCAAACATATAGACTGGGAGAGTATATAAATGGGGAAGCTGAAGCTGGGGATCATCTTGGGGTGATGAACATATGCTAAACTGACGTATAGTGGTACTTGCACAACTCAGTAGGTTTACTGAAAGTCATTGAACTGTATATTTTAAATGGAGAATTTTATGGTATATAAATTATACTTCAGTTTACAAATAAGAAAAAGGAAACAGTAGGAGATAAATTAGGTAACTGGGATTCATTAAAAATTGTATACTTATGCTCATGAAAAGACTTTGCCAAGATAGTAAAATGAGAACTTAGAGAGTAGAAAAGAATTTTTGGCTATGACATATCCAACAAGGGTCTAATCTGTAAGATTTGTAGAAAACTAAACAATAGAAAGACAATCCAGTTTCATACTTGGCAAAGGATATGAGCAGACACATCATCAACAGGAACTCAGGCAGCTAGCAAACACATGGAAAGAGACTTAGGATTATTAGCCATTGTTGTGTTCCATTGAGTCCGTTCAAACTCACAGTGCCCCGTATAAGGTTTCCAAGGAAGTGACTGGTGGCTTTGAATCACTGACCTTTCAGTTAGCATTCCAGGTCTTATCCTACAGCACCACACCAGGAGTCTGTTGTTGTTGTGAAGTGCTGTCAAGTCGTCTTTGACCCATAGTGACCCTGTATAGGGTTTTTGAGGAGCATCTGGTAAGCTTGAACCATTGACCTTGCAACTCAAGTCGACTTTGCAGTCCCACGCATTAACCCACAGCAACACACCAGGACTCTCTCTATAGGAATCCATTAGAGAGATACAGATCAAAACTACTCACCCCAGTAATGATGGTACTGATCAAAAAGAACAACAAATGCTGGGGAAATTAGAACTCTTGGACACAGCTGGTAGAACTATAAAATGGCATAACCACTATGAAGAAAAGTCATAGGCCAAAAATAAAAATGCCATATGAGCTAGCCATCCCATTCTCAGGTATGTATCCTAGGGAAATAGAGCTGTGACATGGATAGCCATGCACACCCGTGTTCATCACATCTTTTCTCACAACAGCCAATGATGGAAACAATGATGAATGGATCAACTGTGGTACATACATACACACAGTGGAATACTTACTATTAGGTGCTGTCAAGTTGGTTCAGACTAGTAGTACCTCTGTGCACAGCAGAACTAAACACTGCTTGATCCTATGCTATCCTCATAATTATTATTTTGAACCCATTGCTGCTGCCACTGTCAGTTCATTTCCTCTTTTTTCTGACTTTGCATTTGACCAAGCATGATGTCCCCCTCTAGGGACTGGTCCCTCCTAATAAGATGTTAGAAGTATGAGAGGCAAAGTGTGACCATCCTGGCTTCTAAGGAGCACTCTGGCTGTACTTCTAACAATACAGATTTGTTTGTTTTTCTGGCAGTCCATGGTATTTAAATGTTCTAACACCATAGTTCAAATGCAATGGAGTACTATTTAACAATATAGAATAATGATGAATCTGCAAAATAGCTCACAAAGTGGATGAATTTGAAGGATGTTAACATGCTAAAATACAGCAAACATGAAGACAATTATATGCTCCAAATTATAAATCGTCAGCAATAGGTTCACACACATAAGGAAACATTCATTGATGGTTGCCAGGGAGGATTGGGAAAGGGAGGGAAAATTCACTTTATAGTTATTGTTAAGTGCTGTTGGATCAGTTTCAACCCTGAATAGGGTTTCTGAGGAGTGACTGGTGGGTTTGAACCACTGAGTAGGTGAGCAAATTTAGGTGAAGGGAAAGGCAGTACACAGTATGGGGAAAGTGCACAGTGTACAGAGGAAGACACTGAGAGGTACAAAAGGATAAATGACAACAGTAAACGCCATAACAGATGCAATCTCTTGATGGCACTAGATTTGAGTAGGTTTGTCCGTAAATGTGTATGTTAAATAGGTGAGCGAGGTTGTTTGAGAGCCCATGACGTATAGGTATGGTGGTAGATAATTCTACATACATATTTGTAAGTGCTGCATTTATACTCACATATATAACAGAGCAAGTAAGGGCACAGTTAGAGAAACTACTTAGGCATTGGAACTGAACCACTGAACTCCATTGTCTTGGAGGACATGTAGGCCAGTTGGCAAAGCACAATTCATAAAGCTTGCAAGCAGCTATCTAAGAAGCAACAAAAGACAAAGACTCACAGAAGCAGTTTAGTCCCGAGGATTAATGCCTCACATGAACCACAGCCTCCTTTAACCTGAGACCAGAAGAACTCGATGGTGCCTTGCTACCATTACTGTCCACTCTGATCAAGACAATAATGGAAGATCCTGGTTAGAGTGGATAAAAAAATGAACAAAATTCAAAACAATAAAAAAGACCTGACTTACTGGTCTGGGTGAGACTGGAAGAACCCCTTAGGAATCCTAACTTGAAACTGAAGACACTCGCAGAGACCACCTTTTACCAAATAATAAATGCGAGTATGAATCAGACAAGAACACCCATGAAGAATGTGTTCCTGGAAACCATCAACTGTACCAGAGCAAAAGGACAACTTCGTCAGAAACCAAAGATGAGAAGCCAACGAATGGCAGTGGCGAGCCCCAGGAGGCAGTGGGGAGAGAGAGGGCTGACACGTTATGGGGATTGCAGCCAGTGTCATATAGCACTTCATCTAGTGATGGGAAAAGGCACTTGCCACGTAAACCTTCACCTTAGAGCACAATAAAACATTGGGTTTAGGTTTTTAAAATTCTATTTAACAACCTTTTTTTTTTTTTTTTAAGTATCATGCCATGGACATTAAGTTTGCATGCTATCAACATGTACTTTGAAAAGCCAAACAACCTATTGTGCAGTGATCTGAAATGCAGTAGCTTTTTTCTTTCAGTTTGCATTTTTTTGCACTTCAGTGTTGTACAGCTTAAAGAAATTTTGAAAATGATTAAAAAGAAAAATACCATTTTCCCCCACACAAATGCTGCAACATTGGTTTTCATTTCCTTTCTTTTCATCATTGTCTCTGCATTCATGTTCTGACATTGGACTCTCAGTAATCTAAAGAGCAATTTGCATTTTGTTTTTGTTTTGTTTTTACCTAATGGTATAAACATTTTTCCATGCTGCAACATAATCCTTGTAATTGCATATTTGAAAACTAAAATACTTAATTGTGTGGATGTATCATAATTTTCTATCTCAAGTCAACTGCTTTGGGGTTTGAGATTGTTTCCCAGATTGCACTATTATAAGTAATGCCTTAGTGAGTTCACAGGGCACTTTCATTTTCTGAAATACTTCTAGAACCATTTAACAGAATTCTGACTATCAAGTGTCCTTTCATTTTTCTGTAATTTCATGCATGTTATAAAATTCTTTTCCAGAAAATTGTACTGATGGCTTTAAAAGCCAGTGTGAAATAACAAACCCAGGTTGGAGGTGTACTGAGCGAGCACATTCTGGTTTCATGTGAGCAGGAAGGAAGACGCTTTGTGGTAGCATGGAGAGACTGTAGGTCTGACTTGGTATTTCTACACTTAGTTGTCTGGGGAAAGAAGCTAACAACTCTCAGGAGCGACAGTGACCAGAGTACAGTATTGTTCAACCCTGTCTGTGCTCATCCAGAGGAAAGTCACCCTCCCAGATGAAATGTTCAATAAAAACATTTTTTTCTTCTTTCATTTCTAGGTTTTTGATGTCACAAAAACTCCCCCCATCAAAGCCCTCCAACTTTGTACTCTTCTTCCCTATTACTCCGCTCGAGTACTTGTTTGTGGAGGGGATGGGACTGTGGGCTGGGTCCTGGATGCAGTGGATGAAATGAAGATTAAGGTATCATTCTCTAATTTGCCTTCATAATAGACGCATTTCCAAAAGTACTTTCTACTATACCATGCAGATGACATTGTCAATTTCTAATAGCTAAGAATGATATAATTAATGACTAAGCAAAACTAGAGAAAGAAAACAAGAGAAGAGTTGTCACTTTTATATCTTTATTGCTTTAGTCATTAAATTGCATCAGATCTTTGTGTATCTTATAAGTACTCATATTTGCATATCTTCAGATTACAAAGAATAAAAACAAAATACTAAAATACATCTTTCATACTCCAGGGACAAGAAAAATACATTCCACAAGTGGCCGTCTTGCCTCTGGGAACAGGCAACGATCTCTCTAACACACTGGGTTGGGGAACAGGCTATGCTGGAGAAATCCCAGTGGCACAAGTTCTAAGAAATGTCATGGAAGCAGATGGAATTAAACTAGATCGGTAAGTTATGCTTCCCCCAAAAGTAGATTTCATGATCTTTGAGATAGTGTTTAGTTTAAAAGTGAAGATTTGTGTAGTTATAATATGTACTTTAAATGTAAAACATTATATTAATTATATAGAGAGACCTTTGTCTTATTGATACATAAAAGCCAAAGTCATAAATCATAAATTTGAATACATACCCCAAATTGTACATGCTCACTAAGATTGTTTCAGATACCATTTGAAGAGAAAATCCTCATCTAAAAGGCATCCAGAGTATATTTTGTTTAAATTTTAAAAATACTCATTTATTTTTATTAACTTTTGTTTTTTTAGATGGAAAGTTCAGGTAACAAATAAAGGATACTACAATTTAAGAAAATCCAAGGTATGTTGCAAGTGCTTTTAGACATGACTAGTTTCCGCAGTAGTCATTGATTCGTTGAATGTCTTCACTGTATAAGATATGGCATTGTGTGAGGGGGGTGGGGGCGCAGGCGTGGGGATCCAGAGCCATGGTGCTTATCTCTAAGTAGTTCCTTGTGTGCTAAACACACCCTGAACTGCTCAAAGTGCAATGAGAGGATGCAGATGTGCTCAGTTCTGTCCTGGCAGATTAGACTGGGCACATTTCACAGGAACAGAAGTAGCATGTGAGATAGTCCTTAAAGGTAAATAGAATTTAGACCAACTGAATGAAACAAAGGGCTTTTCAGCCAGAGGAAATAATAGATAAGAGAATACAAAGCATGGTTATCAAATAACACAGAAACAGCTGGTCATGTGAACATCACTTGTTAAGTGTCAAGGAGTTGGTTCCAACTCATAGTGTCCCTATACAGAGTGTCCAAGGAGCGACTGGTGGGTGTAAACCACTGACGTTTTGGTTAGCAGTCCAGTGCTTATTCTACAGTGCCATGCCAATAGTTAAGGGCAGAAAAAAGTAGAATTGTAGAATGCGGGCGTTCAAAGACATTTTAAAATTAGAATTGACCAAGTTTTAAGAACAGATTACTATTAAAGGGAAGAGAGAAAACATATCTTACCAGGTTTCTAGTTTTTATGACTGGATAGATGGTGGTGGTTGTTAGGTGCCATCGATTCGGTACCAACTCATAGCGACCTTATGCACAACAGAATGAAACACTGTCCAGTCCTGGGACAACCTCTCAATTGTTGCCACGCTTGATCCCCTTCATGCTGCCACTTTGCCAATCCATCTCGCTGATGGTCTTCCTCTTTTTCTCTGACTCTCCACTGTATCTTTCTCCAGCAACTGGTCCTTCCTGACAATATGTCCAAAGTATGAGAGATGAAGTTTGGCCATCCTGGTCTCCAAGGAGCACTCTGGCTGCACTTATTACAACACAGATCTGTTGGTTCTTTTGGCAGTCCATGGCACTTTCAATATTCTCCTCCAACACCATAACTCAAAAGCATCAATCCTTCTACGATCTTCCTTATTCACCGTCCAGCTTTCGCATGTGTAATATGAGGTTATTGAAAATACCATGGCTTGGGTCAGGCACACCTTAGTCCTCAAGCTGACATCTTTGCTGTTCAACACTTTAAAAAGGTCATGTGCAGCAGATTTGCCTAATGCAATTCATCGTTTGATTTCTTGACTGCTGCTTTCATCAGTATTGATGGTTGATAAAAGAAAAGTTGTCGGGGTCTGACCTTGACATAGTTGTGTTGTTCATGAGTGTTTGGTTCATGAGGAGGGGAGATCCAGCGGCGATAGGGATAGCGAAAGAATACACAGACAAACAGAAGAAGGGAGACAATGAGGCACCCCAAAGCCAGGGTGGATACATCACTGGTGGGCAGGCTTGGGACTACAGGCATCATGGCCTCTGCAGGCAGCAACTCACTGCCCTGCAATCTTTACTGCACGCCTTCCAACCCATAATGCACACCTGGGGAGGCCCGGGCCTCTGTTTTATTTAGGGGAGGAGCTTCACACCAAGCTGGGAGGGACCAAAACAGGATACAGCTAACATCAGTACTTTTCCAGACATTCAGGTAACTTTACATCGTACTTCGCTGGTTCGAATCCCAGGCCCACAACTTGGTTTCTCAGGCTCAATTAACATATCTCTAGCCCCTGAGGTCAGTTGGGGGAAGGTGAAAGGTAAGGACACAAGCTTGGGTGGAGTCCCGCTGTTTTGACTTCCTGAGCCAGGTTTTCAGGAGGTCTCCAGACGCCCAGGTGAATGGGCTGCACCTGGAAAAGGATTAGGGAGGATGGGTTCTTTGTCTATAGAACAAAGAACCGAGAAGTAGCTAAGATATTTTTAGTTAATCCTTTTGGAGAAAGGCTTGACCTTGCAACTTTTAGTCTCGGCTTTAGGAAAATATCACATTTATCTGTGGATTATCAAAGGCTCCTTGTATTAATTTAATACATGTAACTGAATATTAAGATAAAAGCAATTTGCCATTAACTGCCAGTGGCCTCATTTGTTACACTTGGGCCTATAGGGCCTCGAACCTCTGACCAGTCTTACACGGTCCGCAACAAAAAGTGAAGTCTTTTGACAACTTCTATCTTTTTTCCATTGATAAGAATGTTGTTTATTGGTCCAGTGGTGAGGATTTTTGTTTTCTAAGATTGATATGCAATCTATAGCAAAGGCTGTGCTCTTTCATCTTCATCAGTAAGTATGTTAAACCCTCTTCCCATTTTCAGCAAGCAAGGTTGTATCATCTGCATATCGCAGGTTGTTAATGAGTCTTCCTCCAATCCTGATGCCACATTTTTCTTTGTATAACCCAGCTTCTCGGATAGTAAGATAAAAAAGGAGAGTTTCAGATTTGTTTACGAAGAGAAGATTTCGGACATGTCAACTTTGAGGCAGTGCAGCATTCAATAAGCTGGAAATTTTGGCTTGTTGATAAACTCAGGAATCAACAGTTGGTTGAGTTTTCTTACTATAGATGATGGCTTAAGTTCTGAGGCTGCACTGAGAGAATGCCTAGAGAGGGGATAAGAGCATGGTCAGGCAGAGGAGCCACTAAAGGAAACTGAGGGTTTCATGACAGAATAAGGAGGAAATGGTTTCTGAGAAGGCAGAATTAGAGAAAGTAAGTGATAAATAGCTAAAAATCTGAGAAAAGCACACTAGGGGAACGCTGAAAATATACATTTATCTCTACTCCTCACTCATCCCTCAGACATGCTGGGGTTTTTTTTAAAGCATAAACTGTTAGAAACAAAGAAACAATAGTGACTAGAGAGGCCAACCTGTTTGCTTATAACTGTGACAGCATATTAAAGCAAGCTGAAACACTGTAAGACCCTACAGTGCAGAAAAGGGTGATAGAAACCAGTTTATGTTGTTAGAACCCTTGAGAAGGCTAGAAATTACCAGCACCAAATAACTCTGAAGGCAGGATGTAGGGTGGGGTGAAACAGAAACAGTTCATAAGGAAGCCTTAACCTCTAGGCTACCATCCCTCTTACTCCCCCCCAGTCTCAGGCCAAAGAGTGGAAGTTTGCTCTGGAACGTTGAAACTGGAGAGATTCTGGACTCTGGAATACCAAGCTAGCTATCAACAGGACCCAGTGAAGCTTCATTCATTGGCCCTTTTTTTAACTTGTCATTATGAATTGGGTGGAGTTTTATAGAGCAGGTCATCAGTTTCCCATTGAGTAATTCATACACATTTGTTTGATCTCAGTGTAGCGCCATAGCCCACTTCCTCCCTGGGTTTCCTGTTTCCAGTCCTCCTCCTTTCCTAACTCTTCTGAACTTTGTCCTTGGCTGAATGCTGCCCCTTGGATCTCAAATGATTGATTAATATAAGGCGTGCATACCTCCCTCACTAGTGTTGCCGTTGCCTTATGTTGTTGTTATGTGCCATGGAGTCGGCTCTGACTTATTTATAATGACTCTGCACAGGGTTTCTGAGGCTGTAAATATTTATGGGAGCAGAAAGTCTCATCTTTCTCCCTCCTGCAGAACAGCTGGTAGTTTCAAACTGCTGACCCTGAGGTTAGCAGCCTGATTCATAACCACTATCTACCAGAGGTCCTTACCGTTCCCTTATAGACCTCTCTATTGTTTGGCTGACAGTTGAGCCCGGTGGGCTAAGTTCATTCTAGACCTTGAAGGGTGGTCAAGGGCCATAGTCATAAGGATTCCACCAGTCCTTAGCCAACCAGTAAGCCTGGTCATTTTTATGATTTTGAGTTTTGTTCCATATTTTTTTCCCCACTATCCAGAACCTTCTAATGGGTTTCCTTTTCAGAGCAGTTGGTAGTAATAGCCAGACACCATGCAGTTATTCTGGCCTCAGGGTCAAGGAGAATTAAGCCTGAATGGTCTGTTAATCCATAGGACTAATTGTTTCCATGTGTCACACTTGTTTCTTCTTAACAGGGAAAGATCAATAGTTGCACCTTAGATGACTGCTCACAAGCTCTTAAGACCCCAGTTGCTACTTACCAAAGTAGTCTACAGAACATTGTGTTTGTGGGCTATGTTAAGTCACTGGCTCTTTTCATCTGCTCAGTTTCAGAGTAGCAATGAACAGTAGCCTGGGTTCAAACAGATAGAAACTGAGAGTCTAATGGTTCAGTGAAGGTGAAAAGTGAATGGAATGGGAACACGGGAATGGGAAGCCTGGCTGCCTGACATTTACAATCTTAGAGTCAAGTCATCCTAGATGATCAGCTATGAGGTCTCGCAGTATTAAATGGAAATGCAAATTGAAATTGTATAGTTATTGGAACTATCAGAACTTGATTTCTGGCAATTTTCACTTTTTGTTAACATTGTTGTTCAGTGCCCTTAGAGTCAGTCTCTACTCATCACAACCCTGTGTAGGGTTTCCAAGGAGCAGCTAGTGAATTGGAACTGCAGACTTTGTGGTTCAAACCAAGCTTGCAGTAGTGTTTATCCTACAGCACCATACCAGGATGGCGTAAGACAGCCTTATGTGGAAAATGAATGCAGAAATATTCCCTTTTCCTAAAGAGCATAGGTGTGCCTGTTGATAGATGGCGTAGCCCTGGACGGAAGCCACGCTTCTTATTCAGCCTCTCTCTTCACAGGAGTTCACAATGAACAACTATTTTTCTGTTGGACCTGATGCTCTCATGGCCCTCAATTTTCATGCTCATCGTGAGAAGGCACCATCTCTGTTTTCTAGCAGAATTCTTAATAAGGTGTGTTGGATAAAATAACATTCCCTGCTTATCACCGAAGGTACAGTAACAATCACTAGTTAATTTTTTTTTTTAGCACTCTTTCAAGTATATTCAAATGGAACTAATTCATGGAACCATTTCCCTACTCAGTTTTGTCATAAGACTATCAAAATAGATCCTTAAATGTATTTTATTAAGATAAATTACAGCTGTGACAAAAGTTTTTCAAAGTTGGAAAGTTTACATCTGACTTTGCTTAGAAACAAGTAAATGGAATACTAAAAACTGGAGGGAAAAATACACTTTTGGTGAAAACATGAATGTAAAAATCACTTCCATTAGCTTTGAACGACTTGAAAAGACAGATGAGGTAAGAAAAAAGGCAGTTTGTTTACAATGACCTTTGACTAAGGTCATCTCTTATTTGGATTCCTTTGTTTTGCTTTGGAATTTTTGGAATGACTTTTGGTAATTGAGTAGTATAATGTGAAAAATAAATGCAAAATAATTTTATTTATAGTCCTGTTTTACAAATACTTCAAATTTGCCAGTAGTTCCTTTCTAGCAATATAGTTACTAAGGGAAGAAGTACTGGTGTTTGTATGCTGGGTAACTAGTTCAAAATCTCAATGTTTCGGTCCACTTTCCTGTATCCAAACGGGTTGTAAAATGTTTGCTAGATTTATCTGCATTACTTCTGTTAGGAAACCTCAAGTGTTAGGAAAAGGTGGAATTTTCTCATTTTAGCATATTCGTTATTTATATTTTATAATGCAGCTTTTTAGATAAATAAACTGGGGGAAATCATCCTTTGGACATGAACCCCCACTGTTCCATGTTCCTCCCAAACAGCTAAAAAGAGTGGCCTTTATTGTTACTTTCTAAAGGAGAGGGATGATTAACAGCGTTTCATCCACTGCTCACCTGGACTTCTAAACCATTAGTGTAGCATAAGAGAGTAAACGGTAAACTTAAAAATGATTAATTTTTAAAGGCATCCAAATTGGCAAAGAGGAAGTAAAACTCTCCCTATTTGCAGACGATATGATCCTATACGTAGAAAACCCCAAAGACTCAGT